AGGTGTATGACTTGTCAGCAAGTCAAAGCAGAACATCAGGTACCCACAAGACTTTTACAGCAAATCACTATTCCTGAGTGGAAATGGGACCACATTACGATGGATTTCGTAATCGGATTACCATTGTCCCCGAAGAAGAATGATGCGGTATGGGTTATTGTTGACCGTTTGACAAAGTCAGCGCATTTCTTACCAATTCGGCGAGATTTTACACTTCAGCGTTTGGCCGAACTGTATATCCGCGAGATTGTCAGGCTACATGGAGTACCATCGTCCATCATATCAGACCGCGATCCCCGATTTACTTCCAAATTTTGGAAGAGCTTACAGAAAGCTCTTGGTTCTAAATTACATTTCAGTACGGCTTTCCATCCTCAGACCGACGGACAGTCCGAGAGGACTATTCAGATTCTTGAAGATATGATGCGAGCTTGCATCATTGATTTTGGAAACAATTGGGAAAAATATCTTCCTCTGATGGAATTTGCCTATAACAATAGTTATCAGGCAAGTATTAAAATGGCTCCGTATGAAGCACTGTATGGAAGGAAGTGTCGAACACCAGTTTGTTGGACTGAGCTGAGTGAGAGAAAACTCGAGGGTCCAGAACTCGTGCGCGAAACAGAAGAGAAAGTTTAGTTGATCAGAGAACGACTTCAGATAGCAGCAGACATAAAGAAATCTTATGCAGACCTCAAGCGACGTGATATCGAATATGCTGTTGGTGACAGGGTTTTCTTGAAGGTTTCTCCTTGGAAGAAGGTTTTACGTTTTGGCAAAAAGGGGAAACTTAGTCCGAGGTTTATAGGCCCATACAAAGTTACAGAACGTGTGGGACCTGTAGCCTACAGGTTGGAATTACCGCCAGAACTAAACAAGATTCATGATGTGTTTCATGTGTCAATGTCGAGGAGATACAGATCAGATCCATCTCACATTATTCCAACAGAGACAGTCACTCTTGATGAGAATCTTTCCTATGAAGAGGAACCTGTAGAGATTCTGGCACGAGAAGTTCGAGTATTGAGGAACAAGACCGTACCCTTAGTTAAGGTGCTTTGGAGGAGTCACTCTATCAAAGAAGCAACCTGGGAAACTGAGGAGTCTATGCAATCTCAATATCCACAACTTTTCAGCGACCAGTGATCAGGTAATTTCGAGGACGAAATTATTTTAAGGGGGAGAGAATTATAACGCCCCGAAATTAGGCCTAAAAGAATTAATTAATTTAAATATTAATTAATGGCTGAGATAGACCCGAACACTGAAAAATAAAAGTTTTCAGAAAAATATTTTAATTATATCAAAATTCCAGTTTTGACAGTCTGATTCCAAAAACGCGACCCGTTTTCAAAACAGAACAGTTTGGGCGAAAAAGCGTGTACCGTTTTGGCCAGTTTATCAGTTACGGAGTAGGAGAATATATTTGATTCCCCAAACCCTCCAAATCACGTAGAGACACTTCTCCCCATCTCTTCCAATCCCCAATCAAACCACATTAGGACCCCACCACCACATCCCTCCAATTTATCTTCCCTATATTATTACCCTACCACCACCATCATCCTCACACATTACCACCATCATCCATCCATCATTCATTCCATCACCATCCTCTCCCTCTCTCGGCAGAAACTCAGGAGGAAGAATACCCAAAAAAAATATTCCATTGTTGAGCCAAGGAAGAAGAAGGAGAAACAAGAAGAGGTGTCAAGGTTCCCAAATCTTAAGCTCAAAAACGCAGCATCAACTTCTTCGTAAATTTTGAACTTCCGGAGGTTATTTCCAGGAAGATTGAACGTCGGAAGCTCGAAGTTGATAGGGGCGACCGTACGTTGAACGTTTGTTGAGGCGTATTATTATCTTTCTATCTTTCCGACCTCTACGTTATCAAGGCGAGTACATTGCACCTTAGTAACGCAATCCTTTGTTGAATATCAATCTAGATATATCATTAGAATTGATTGTCATAGTATAAGTCATCTATGTTTTAAGATCGAACTTATCAAACTCATAATGTTGAAAATATGTTTTTCGTAATAAGCTTCCTTACATGAATATATATAAGTGTTAGGATTTCTTCAAAATCATAGACATGTTAATCATAAATGTTAAAATAGCTCAAAGAAGTATTTTAGATATCCAAAAATATCAAAAATAGGATTTGCAGACCCGAACGGTCGACGTAAACGGTCAACCGTTGCTTTAAAAATCGAAACGGAACAAGACTGTCAGACAAACGGTCGACCGCCGGTGGGCAACAGTCGATCGTCGCCTGCCCAGCCAAGTGCCGCCGCCCACCTCTAGTCAACCACGGTCGACCGTCACGGTGATTCCCCAACCCGACGCGATGAAGTTTAAGGTCGACCGTCGCGCCTAACGGTCGACCGTTCCGAGCCCCGTAGCTTAAATAAATGATATTTTTATCAAATTTCATCCAAATAAAATAAAGTTTATTTATCCAATCATGTTGTTTACAAATTGTTCATATCATGTGATTCATTTCATCATCCATATTGAAACATATCACATCATGTGCATGCGCAAGAGATCAGGCGGAAGTGCGTCTCTTGTAGCGTGATGTGCGGGACTTATTAGTCCGACATCACCCGTTCCGGGCTTAG